CGGCCGCTCCAGAACACAGCCAGGAGCGCACTCCGAGCCCAGCCCGGCCCCCATCAGTGGAGCCCCGTCTTAGCCCGGCCCCTCCCCAGACCAGCAACCTCTCCAGGACGTGCCCTGCCCCGAAGGCCCCAGCCTGAACCGCACTTGAGCGGCCTGTGGGCCGTGCCCGGTCCCCCTGAAATGACACTGGGGGAGCACAGGTGCACACACGCGGCAAGGGGAAGACAGGGACACACAAACCCATTGGGCAGGAAGCCGCCTGGGCGGCCCCCGGATCGTGCCCCTGCGCCCCACCTGCCCTCTGTGTCTGAAAGCGCCACCCGTGTCTGTCCTGGTCAGTCCTCTCTGTCCCTCCTCCCAAAAGTCAGCAGCACAGAGGCAGATAGGTTCTGCCTCTGCTGCCCGAGCCCACAGCAAGGGCCCAGCCAACGGGGCCGAGCGAGCCGCAGCAAGCCCTCCGGGCCGCCCGGGAGCAGGGGAGGCACAGCCCAAAGCCAAAGGGCAGAGGGCAGAGCTGGCCAGCCCGGGGCCATCTCCGGCCTCAGGCACCAGCTCTGTCTCCCAACCTCCCCACCGTGCCAGGGCCCGTCTGCTCTTCAGGGGAAGTGACGGAGCTCCCAGGGCAGGAGACCTGCAAGGCTGGCAAGAGGCCTCGGCGCCCACACGGCCACTCAACCTCAGCCCCGCCCCTGCCCCATCCATTAACGGGGCACTGCCCCACCCCGCCCCTCCCCGCTGCCTCGCGGGGTCTCCCCAGGCCAGGGGAGGTGCCACGCAGGAGGACTCACAGCCCATGCCGGCAGCCTTTGCTCTCAAGCTGCTCTGAGTTCTGCAGAGCAGGCGGTGAGGGTCCCCACGTGATAGACAGCGCACGGCGCAAGGCCAGAGACGCACCCGCAACGATGGGAGCAGAGAGCCAGGCTTGGGACGCCCAGAGGCCGGCTGGGGAGAGGGTGGGCTCAGAGGCAGCTCCTGCAGGAAGGGCCAGGCTGGACGGAGGACCTTCCAGCAAGGGCACAGACAGAACAGGCAGGGAGGGAGGACGCCCAAAGTGGCCAGGCTGGAGCATCAGGAAAAAGGCAGGAGCAGGAGCTAAGGATGGGGACAAACCCCAGCCACGCCGGGTGGTGTGGGCAGGTCAGAGGCCAGGCAGGCGGTGGCCCAAAGGTGCAAGCTGCAGACCGCCACAGGGGCTGTCCGCGGGCACAGGCCACCTCTGCACCTCCTAGCTGAAGCTGCTCCAGACACACTCGGTCTCTCATCAGCATCAGCAGATTGTGGCCATACCTAATTAGTTTAATTAAACCCACAGTGGCTCCCAGGCATTTTGAATAAAAAAATAAAATAAGGTCAGGCGAGGTGGCTCACACCTGTAATCCCAGCACTTTGGGAGGCCAAGGCGGGAGAATCGCTAGAGCCCACGAGTTCAAGACCAGCCCGGGCAACATAGCAAGACCTCGTCTCTATAAAAAGTAGAAGACTTAACCGGGTGGCACGAGTGCCTGTAGTCCCAGTTACTCAGGAGGCTGAGGCAGGAGAATCGTTTAAGCCCATGACTTTGAGGCTGCAGTGAGCTGTGATTGTGCCACTGCGCTCCAGCCTGGGTGACAGAGCGAGACTGTGTCTCTAGAAAAAAAAATTTTCTTTAAATAAAGCATATCCTGCCAGCTTCAGGAGGGCATGACCAGGTGGGCACTGGTATCTCCCTGTGACTATCTCCTAGTACCTGGTTCTCTACACAGCAGGTGCTCATTAAATGTACACTGCTATTTTGGTGCTTTAGGGCCATTAACTCAGCTAAGATAAGCTTAAAGTAGGAAGGGCTCTCCAAATCCTCGAAAACAGGGTGTCGCCATGAGAGGCTGGTGGGCGGACACCGCAGAGGCCTCTGAGCTGGACAGTCCCCGCCTCTGTGACAGGCAGGGATGTGGGAGACTCCGCTGCGCACCTGGAGGGGCCCTGGCAACTCACCAGGACCCAGATACCCACGGAAACAGGGGCACACCCCTCACCCCACCCATCCCATGATAACAGACCCCCTCCCCCACCCATCCCAGAACAGACACCCCTCCCCCACCCGTCCCATGAAGATACCCCTCCCCCACCCATCCCAGAACAGACCCCCTCCTCTACCCATCCCAGAACAGACACCCCTCCCACCATCCCAGAACAGACCTCCCACCCATCCCAGAACAGACACCCCTCCTCTACCCATCCCAGAACAGACACCCCTCCCCCACCCATCCCAGAACAGACACCCTCCCCACCCGTCCCAGAACAGACACCTCCCACCCCGTCAGAACAGACACCCCTCCACCCATCCCAGAACAGACACCCTCACCATCAGAACAGAACCCCTCCCCACCCATCCCAGAACAGACACCCCCTCCCCCACACGTCCCATGAAGATACCACTTCTCCCACCATCCCAGAAAGACAACTCCCACCCCATCCTATGAAGATACCCCTCCCCCACCCATCCCAGAACAGACACCCCTCCCCACCCATCCCATGACAACAGACACCCCTCCCCCATCCCATGACAACACACACCGCTCACCCCACCCATCCCATGACAACAGACACACACCATGAAAATCCAAGAGCGTGGCCCAGAGCATGTGTCAGAAGAGAGTCAGCAAGACAGCAAGGCGGTTTAGGAAGTCCTTCGAAGTTGTCATTTATTTAAACAGTCTTGGGAGGGAGACCTAAGTGCATGCTAGCTTTGCCACTCAGGCAGGGACCCGGGTGGACCACCCCCTCTCTGAACCATCCCTGGTACACGCCGCCCGGGATCCTGCCGGCCGGCCAGCACGGGCTAGAAGGAGCAGCTGCGACTCCTCACGAGCTCCAACCGCCGCGGCCGGGGCGACGCTGTTCCCTGCCCCCGTAGGGAACGCATGTGTCCTGGGCAGCCGAGAGCAGCCGCAGAGAGGCCGCCACGTCCCTCTCCCAGGCCGTGTCCCCCACACACGGCACGCAAAGTGGTTTCCTCGCCTAGGAGCACACGGACGGGCCGCCCGGTGCGTTAAAGGAGCCCCCGCAGCTGTCCCTGTGCAGGCCCCAGGTGTACGAAGGTGCCAGGGTCCAGCCCGTGGCCCTGGAACTGCCAACGACACACAGCGCCCTCCCCCAGCGAACCCTCACGACACGGCCAGGAGGTGGCCACGAGGACCTGTCCTTATCGCAGAGACCGGGAACTAAAGCCCAAAGGTCCTCGCCTACCTGGGAGGTGACAGTGCCAGGATGCAATCAGAGCATGCGGCCACAAAGACCCTTGACCTTCTGGCCTCCCTACCACCCAGCCTCCCAAAGCCCCCTCCCCGGGCCGGGGGCAGCAGGACTCAAGGGGACTGCGTCAGTGTTGGAGCTGCTGCCCAGGCCAAGGCTCCAGGGACCCGAGAAGTCTGGACTTGAACTTGCAGCAGAGGCTGAGCAGAGCCACCTGCCGCAGTCAGCGGCCCCTCCGCCTCCCACCACCCTGCCCAGACCACAGCTGGGGAGGGCAGCGCCAGGCCAGCCCCCTCTGCGCAGACCCAGCCGGGGCCAATCAGCCGACCCTGCCCGCGCAGCCAGCCTGGCGGCCCTGGAGTTCACACCACTCGCAGAGGCTCCTACCAGAGCCAGCTGTTCGCCCGCAGGGCCTGCTCCCTCTAGCCATGAAACGGGGAGCACTTCCCAGCCGCCAGCGGGGCGCTGAGCCGCACTGTGCAGCGGGCACTGTGCAGCGGGCACCCTCCCAGGGCAGCTACCGCGGGGACAGTGGTGACGGCCGTAGGGCTGCCTTCCCCGCTGTGAGTACTGAGTGGGAGGGCGGCCCCCTTCCCCCGGGGGCTCTCCTTTGTCAGCGGCCACCCCATCCCGGAGAGGCCCCATCTCCTAGGAAACACGGGCGTCCCAAAGGGCAGAGGCCTGGCGCTGCTGGGAGCGGTGACTCACTCCATCCCGCCCTCCTCCCGCACCGCGTCTGCCCGGGTCCGCAGAACCGCCTGGGTCTGCCTGGGTCTGCCGTTCCGAGGGCAGCTGGGGAAGGGGCTGCGGCTGCTGGCAGGTCGCGCCCGGGCAGTGCGGGCTGGACCGGGCGCCCCCTCCTCTCCCATGGCTCCCCCCACCTCTGCAAAGCTGCTCCGGGTCGGGTTTCGCGACCCCGGAGAGCAGAACAGGACCTCGATTCTGCTCCGTTCTTGGCCAAGTTCCCTCCACGGGGCCAAGAAAAGCAGCTCCGGCGGGCGCAGCGGACATTTTCCTGCCCGGCCCTGCGGCCACGCGTGCCTCCTCCGCGACAAAGGCCACACTCAAGGGCCCGACGGAAGGGTGTGGGTGCTGGGGAGGCGACGGGGGCCCAACTAGCGCCAAGTCGAGCAGCCCTGGAGGCCTCTGAAGCGGCTCAAACCGGGCCCAGGTCCTGGGGGAGGCGGAGGCGGACGAAGGGGCGCGCCCCAGGCCCCCTCACCCCCGCTCCGCGCCCACCCGAGGGCCCCCGCCCGCGCCCCACCCGGCCCCGCGGCCGCACCCCCGGGCAGGCGCAGAGAGCGCGCCCGCCCGTCCTCCCGGTGTCCACTCTTCAGTCCCAAAGCCCGAGGGTGCGACCCTCCGCGCGCCCCCGGCGCGGCAGGCTTCCTGGGGACAGCAGGGACAGTCGCAGGGCCCCGGGCCGGGAGAGGGGGCGCCAACGCCGGAGTCTCCCCGCATCTCGGGAGGGTCACACGGAGGGACGTGCGCACCCAAGCAGTACCCGCGGGCAGCAGAGGCTCGCCCCAGGCTTGGAGGACTTTGGCCAACTTCAAACCTCCGGAGGTCCCCACTGGGAGGAGCCGGCTTGGAGGCCCCGGGCGCGCCCTCTCCATGCCGCCCTCCCGCTGCCCGCGACATCCCGCGCACGGCAGCCCCAGCCAGGGCGATCCGGCTCCCGCGGCTGCGACCTCGGTGTTCGGGTAAGCCCGCCCGGCGGCGCGAACGCCCGAGCACCCGCGCCCCTCCCGCCACGCCCGGCCGCTCACCTGGGACATCTGCGGCCGGAAGTTGATGTCCTTTAGGTCGATGGAGCCGGGGCAAAGGTTGTGCAGCAGCTGGCACAGGAGGACCCCGTCGCGCAGCGCCTGCGCCAGGTCGAAGACCACTGCCGAGGGCCACACGACGCGGTGGTTGGGCGGCAGGACCTTGCAGTCGATGAGCCAGCGGCCACACTGCCGCCACTGCTCCATGGCGCCCGCGGCGCCGCGCGCCCGCCGCGGCTGGGCCGGCCGGCTCAGGGCAGCGCGCGAGCCCAAGTGCGGCGGCCGCGGGGCATCCCGCCTCCCGCGCGGGGCTCGGCGGCCGGGGCGGGGCTTCACGCGGGCGGCCCCGGGTGCCCGCTGCGCCGCCGCGCGTCCCTCCTCTTCCTCCTCCTCCTCCGGCTCCTCGCGGGCCGCCGCTCCCGCCCACGTGCGGCCGCGGGGCGGGCGCCGGGCAGTGCGCCGGGTCCCCCTTCACGCACTCGAGTGCCCCGGGGCCCCAAGCCGAGCTCCTGGCCGCCCGCCGCCGCGGCGCTCCCCGATCCGCCCCGCGGGGCGCCGCATTCTGCGCTCTGGGCGCCCCGCGGCCGCCGCCGCTCCGGCCCCGCCCGAGACAAAGGCCCGGCGGGTCGCTCGCTCGCGCGTCCCGGGCCTGGGCCGCCGCGTCGCCGCCGCTTTGTCCGCCCGCCCGCGGCTCCGCGCTCAGTGCCGGACGCTCCGACTCGCCGACTCCGCGGCTCGGGGGGCGGGGGGCGTAGGGGGCGCGGCCTCGGCCTGGCGGGGCCGGGGGCGGGGCCAACGCACCCGCCTGGCGCCTCCCCGCGCCCCCAGCACCGCCCCCGCCCCCACTTCCTGCCCCGCCGCAGCCCACGAAAGTTGCGGTGGGCGGGGCCTGCGCGCCAGCTGGGGTCCCGCCGGCTCGCTCCCGGGGTGCTCGGACTGCTGCGGCGAGCGACCGTGCGTGCAGTGGTGGCCGTGCGTCCCTCCTGGGTGCCGCTGGACCCCCGTGGTTGTCAGGAGGTGGCCCCTGTCGCGCTGGGCGCTTTCGCATGGCCGTCCGGGAAGGACGGACCCGGGAGGGGGCACCCGGCTGGGCCAAGGCTTCTCGCGCCCCCTTGGCATCGGGCTGCCCTGGCGGGATCACTTGAGGCTGGAGGCACAGGGGCCAGCGTTCCCCAGAGCCCTACCCCCGTCCTCTGCCCTGGCCGGGGGCCGCAGGAAGCCATCCGACCCGGCACAAAGGCCAGGATTCGCCTGGCCTGGGCCCAGAGCCCTGGCCACTGCCAGCTGCCCAGAGGGCAGATCCCGGGGTCCCAGACGGAATATGTGAAAATAGTGGGGGAAAGGGAAGCTCCCTCCCGCCCAGGATCGCAGCCACCCCCACGCTGCCTCGCCCTGGTCTTTCTGGGCCACGCCCTGGGGGGGCTGCGTTCTGTCCAGCTGGCAGGGCCTGACAGTGGGAGGGGCTCCGAGGACATCAACAGCAGATTCCGAGATGGAAATTACATGGGTCTGGCTCAGTTGCAGGAGCCCTGGTTCCCACTGCTGATGTTATGACCCCCCCAAGTCCAAGCCCCTCTCTGAGACTGGCTCAGTCACTGGGGGCGGGGCGGGAAGGGGAGGCAGAGAAGGGAAGGTGACCAGTCTGCCAAAGGCCTCCCGCCCAGTGGCCCAGTCCCCTTCTCCCCTGGCTTGCATGGGCAGGGGCCAGGGCCGATGGTACCCCCCTCACTGCAAGCCCAGAGAGGGTCCTCTGAGCCCAGGGGCCCATCCTGGAGTCCTGTTCTGGGAACTGGCCTCTGCAGAGAGCCAGACCTGCCCCTTCCCAGCTTGAGGAGGAAGTGTGGGGTCCGGGCCCAGGTGTGGCCCACGGACAGAAGTCAGGAGGGAGCTGGCCCCCCGGGGCTGACAGGCGGGCTGCGGCTGCTGTCCGGGCACCCTCCTCGGAGGCGGCGGCAGTGGGGCCTCTGTGGATGTGCACAGGGAAGGGGCTTCGGGGGGTGGGGTGAGTGTGCCTGAGGGTGATGTGTGGGCCCTCCAGCACCTCCCTGAGAAACCTCAAAGCCGGGAGCCCCCGCCCTCGGCACCCCCAGAGCAGGCCCCTTGTGCAAAGCCCGGCCTCCGCTGCAGAGTGGGGGGCTCCCCCTCTGCTTGTGGGGAATGCCCAGGAAAAGCTAACCAGGGCCTTGCCCAGCGCCTGGGCAGAGGGGCTCCCCTGGGGAAGGGCGCCCCACCCTCCCAGCCCCTCGCCTGGGACCCGTTAATGCCTGTGTCCCTCTCCCCAGGTAGCTCCCTCAGCAGGACAGGGGCCTCTGTCCTCACTGCCCTTGGCCGGCCGGCCTGGGCAGGGGACCAACCCAGAGGACCAGCCCAGGCCTGGAACAGGCACCACCCAACCCCGCCAACCGCGCAGACGTCCATCTGCCGCCCCCTGGCGGTGCAGAGGGTGCTGCCGCCACCTGGCCGCCCAGCTGCTCCCAGGAGAGGGCACTGCCCGGGAAGGGCCTGCACCAACCAGGAATCCAGGCTTTAGCTTGAGAGCAGCCAAGGCAGGAGACCCTGGCCAGCCATGGGGGGGTCCCGAGCCCATCGCTTGGCCGCCCTGATTCCCAGGTCCTGATCCGGACAATGGGGACATTCACCTGCCCTGCGAACCTCACAGGGTCCTTGGGGGGCTCTGCAGGCAGGACGGCTGTGAGTGAATGGACGAATGGATGAATGGAAACTGGCAGAAGCTCTCTGGAACGCTCAGTGGGTATAATGGGCACACTCCAGGCAGAGTGTGGAAGGGGACTGCTCCGACTCCCTGAGGGTTGCTTGCGGGAGCATGGCGGCGTCTAATTCCTCCGTGGTTTAAAAGCCGACACGGGATTGCGTCAGCTCAAAGCATACGTCAGGGAGACTGACCAAGAGGACGCTGTTCCAGAAGATTCTACCCATCCACGTCCTGTCGGACTGGGAGCCGTTGTCGTGAAGGAGGGCGACAGACAGGGGAGAGGGTGTGCGGGGCACACCTGGGGGAGCTTCCTGAAGGGCCTGAGACTCAGGTCAACAGAGATTGGGCACACTGGGGACGAGAGGGCTGACGTGAGGGGTAAGCACAGGAGAGCTGGTCTGCCCAGAGTGGGGCTTGGGCAAGTGTCCGCTTTTTAAACCACGAAGGTGGTTTAAATGTCACCATGTTCCCACAAGCGACCCTCAGCGAGTCCGGGCAGTCCCCTTCCGCACTCTGCTGGGAGTGCGACCACTCCGGGCCCTCCCCCCAGGTCCATGCCACTTCTCGGTGGCCTGCTTCCACCCTCCAGCCCACCCTCAGCGGCCAGCAGGACCCAGTCACACCTGGGGTAGACCCTGTCACCTCTATGCAGACGGGAGCCCCCTGTGGCTCCCACCTCCCTGGAGATAAAATCGAATCCCATCCCAGGGCGAGTCCCAAGCGATGCCCCCTCGCCGGCCCCATCCGTGGCAGCGCTCCCTGGGGCGTGTCCAGCATGCGTGTGCCTCGGGGCCTTCGCACACACCAACTCGCTGCCTGGGCCCCTCCCTCACGTCTGAGCCCACCTTGCCTTTCTTCTCTGCACCGCCACCACCGTGCGCGCCGGTTGCTTTGTTCCTCTCATCCCTGAGCACGTGTCCCCTCTGCTGCAGCAAGAGCCACCCCCAGCCTGCCCCGGCCTCAGGACATAGCCAGCGCTCAAGAAACACTGGGGGGACGCGGCACCAGCAGCTTGGCAAATCGCTGTGATTTTAAAATCCAATATGTTCTCATGCACAAGCCGCAGACGTGCTGAACAGATTCACAGGTTTTAAAAAAGGCAATACAATCTATTTATTGATCTGTGGCATATTTTAACATTATCGCTGTGTAAATCAACACCACAGCACGTAAGATTTGCACTTCAATAGTACACTGCTGTCACCTTCAGCTCCTTTTAAGAGCATTAATAATTGTGATAGCCACTCTCGAGTCCAGATGGCTGGCCTGGGAGACGGTCACCTCCTATAAGCCTCCATCCACTCCAGGTGCTGGCCTTGTCCTGAGTGGCCAAACACAGGACTGACACTCAAGAGCCCACCCGTGGGCTGCCCGGGCACCCAGCAAGGCACCGAGGAGGCAGGTGCAAGTGCCAGGCCCCGCTGACACGTGTGCACACGCAAGTGAACACTGCTGGTGAGAGGGGCTTCCCCGCCCGGACCTTTCGGGTGTCCCTTGACACACTGACGTGGGGGGCGGGGGGCAGGGAACAGGAAATGCTGTGATACTAGAAACCCACAGATACACAACCAGCAACAGAGCAGGGCCTCGAAACACACAAGCACGCACACGCTTACACACGCCCACCGCCCACCGCCGCAGTGCCAGAACGGGCCATCGGTGCCGGCCGGCGCGGCAGAGCTGGGAAGTGGGGGCAGAGGAGCCAGAGTGCAAGTCCAGGAGGGAAGGGTGGCTGGCAGTGCGCCGCGTGCCCTCCAGGCCGGGGAAGCCGCACACAGGGGCTCAGGCAGGGAGGCGGCAGCCGCTGTGTGCACGGCACGCAGGCTTCTGTGCCCGGCACGCGGGCTTCTGTGCCCGGCAGTGACTCCAGCCCCGAGCGATGCTCCAGCTGCATCTCAGCACGTCCTTCCTGCTCCCAGGCTCTGGGCCAGGGGCACGCACGCCCCGGGAGGGAGGCGCTGTCACTGGGTCGGTTTTACCGAGGAAGACGGTTCTCAGCGCTGGAAGGACGAGGCCAGGGCCATGTGACTGGCAGAGGCTGGATTGAAACCAGGTCCAATACAGAGCGCATCTCCCGCGGGGCCTCCTGCTAAGCCATTCCCGTTTGTTCCCCGCCATGACATGAGGGCTGCCAGGGCGGCGGCACGGGAGAAAGCGTCACCCTCCCCCGGCCGCGTCCCCGTCACTGGGCAGCCGCGGGGCCTGGCTTCTGAGCGGCAACGCGTGGGCCTCTGAGCGTGTCGCCTGCCACAGTGGAAGGTCTTGAGAGCTTCTCACCCACCCAATGTCGGGGACCGCCCCTTACGCACTGCCACACGGCGCTCTGTCAGCCCAGGTCTCCCCACAAAGCACCGGGACCTGCTGCCAGGTCCGGCGCATTCGTCAGAGGGGCGGAGGCTGAGGGCCCTCCCCATTCCACAGCTGGGGTCCCAGGCACAGACGAAAGCTCCCGTCTAAGGAGCCCCACCCAAGGCCACTGTCTGTCCGTGACCCCTCCAGCACCCCGTGTCCCGCCACCCACCTCCCTCCCTTCCTCCACGCACCCAGCCTCCAGCTGGAAAATGTTTCCCGGCCTCTGGGCTCAGCAACCGGGAGGGGAAGTG